ATATATATATATATATATAGTAATAACAAAAATAAGGCTTATGATAAAAATAATTATAATGAGGAAGATGATTTTTGTAGACAGCACTACGTGTATAATTCATGGGGCAATGAGGCTATGCTCTTAGACAGCTGCTAACGGTTAGCAGGATCCGGATCCTGCTAGCCTGGTTCTCACGAGAGACTATGGCTATGTTCTCACACGGCTGCTAATGGTTAGCAGGATCCGGATCCTTCTAACCGTTAGCTGCCGTGCGTCTATGCGAGAAAATCCCGATCCGGATACCAACAATATGATGATCGAATCACAGGCCAATAAGAAACTGGAAATTGTAAACGCGTACGTGTGATTGGTTGATGATAGGAACGCCCTCAACTTTCTAACTGATATCGCTTGCTAACCGTTAGCGTATACGGATGCCGCTAACGGTTAGCGCTAACCGATCGGACGTTCTCACGCAGGTGCTAACGGTTAGCGCTAACGGTTAGCTCCCGATCCAGATACTAGGGCTCTCTAGTATCCGGATCGGGAGCTAACTGTTAGCGCTAACAGGATCCGGATCCTGCTAACCGTTACCAGTCGTGTGAGAACATAGCCTAGGTAACACTGTCTTTTTGTGGGACCTAACAATGGTCAATAAGAAACTGGAAATTGTAAACGCGTACGTGTGATTGGTTGATGATAAAAACGCGCTCAACTTGCTAACCGATAGCACTTGATAACCGTTTGCGCTTGATAACCGTTAGTGGAATCCGGATACCGCTAACGGTTAGCACTAACCGATCGGGCGTTCTCACGCAGGTGCTAACGGTTAGCTCCCGATCCGGATAGGGCTCTCGTGAGAACCAGGCTAAAGAATAATACGCAAACACGTGCGTTTGTGGGACACAACACGTGTGTTTGTTTTACGTCACGCGCGTATTACTGACCCGTTCTGATTGGCCTGTTGTTAAGTTTGATTGACACTTCTGAAATGTCCATTTACTCACCTTCGGGAACACAATTAGTAGCCACCGTTGTACTGTTAACCCATACCCCATCCGAGCAGCATAGTTTAATAGATCCGTGTATCTGGTAGCCTGGGTCACACATGAACGAAGCAGAGGACAAATGCAAATTGCCTTGGCTGGTTATCTCCAACCTACCGTTTTCGGGCTCAAATATATTCGGACATTCTATGGCGGCCATTCAAAATGTAAAGTAATTATGTTTTATTTTTCAAATCAGTAAGTAACTTTATTTCACAATTCCGTACTTTCTAACACGGTACAATAATTATATTTTACAATTTTGTAAAAATGTGCGTTTTCAGAAGCAAAGTGCTTTAATCGTAAAGCCCATGCAAAGAAAAATTAAATCAACGAGTAATCCGAAATAAAAATAAACACGAAAAAAAAACCAATATGCAATAAATAAAAAACGAAAAATCAATAAAAAAAATATGTTTCATTGAGGAGTAACGAGTAATTTACTTCGCAGCTCGATGAGAAATATTAGAAGACGATGATGATGATTTTGTTTTTCAATGATTATTATTATTATTATTATGAAGAGGAAGATGAAGGCGAAAATAGAGAAGAATGATAATAATGAACATATGATACTGTTTAATAATATTAATGAAAATTTCAATGATGATTTTATATCCATTTTTTGTTTAAATTTTTTGTTCTTTAGGTTAGCTCTTATTTTTCTTATTCTTTTATTTATTATAGATTTATTAAAATAAAAGGAAAACATTAGTTTGATGAGCTTCTTATTCAAAAGCTCCTGAAGGTCCATATCATCATCTACATTTATTTTAATATTCATATTTTACTTATTATATAATCATTGCATCTGTTATTGTTATTGTTAGTTTTTATATGGAATTGATTGATGAGTAAAGAATTTGATTGTGGTTGATGGTCATGATACCGTTTCATAATAAACATAAAAATAATAATAATTGTGATGATAAAAGATGGTGATAATGATGATGTGGTGGTGTGGTGGTCATAATGATGATGATGTGTATGTAGAACAGTAATATGCCTATATAGAGTTAAAAGTTAAAGATCATAGGCCTACCTTTACTTGCATGGATTGAACGTGTACTTAAAACGATAAGGAAACACGAAATAATATGCACATTCATTTCACCTGTTAACACAAATATTTGCTATAAATAACATACTGTTCAATATTTTACAAATATTATTATTATATAAGGACTAATTAATAAGCCTACTTTATGGTATATTATGTCTAGTGAATTTGCATATAGCTTCTATAACGAGGATCATGGCCTTAAGATGCAATGCTCAGATATACCAACACTACATGATAATACCAATACTATGGATTTAGGAGCAGAGCTGCTAATAAGAAAAGCTGTTTTTTTTTGTCAAGTTTAAACGATCGTTTATACGATGAGTATAGGCTAGTCGGACCGCCACCTCGCCCCCCCCCTTGTTCATTTTGTTTAATTATATAAAAAATTAAGTGAAATAGTAAATCATAATATTCAAATCAAGTTTTAGAGTGCCATTTCCGGCAATTTACAGGTGCCATTTCATACCTCAGCCAAAACAATGGGCTGGCTGAGGCGGTCTAGACACTCAATATGTCAAAATACCTCTATGGACCCCTCTATTTCGAATACGTGTATCCCCTACTGCTGGAATGAGAGGTAAGCGTCTTAACTACCCAAAAATAACTTTCAGTCTACTTACGTTGTTTTATTTCAACAGCGGTTTTAATGTAAAAACTCATCAACTAATATGATTGTAGTTATGTCTGTCATCTGACAAGGAAGTAATAATTGGTATATATACTTATACAGTGGCATGGCTTTTAACAATATCGTACAATAGGGGACAATTTGAATATTGTGCTTGAATTGTATAACATAATGCCTTGACACACAATCTGTATTATACTTATAATAATAATAGATTCGTGACTGCAACTTGCTTTGAAATAGGGCCAAAACCGTGGTGAGCTGCACTCATTCTTAAAACCAGGACCGCCATCCATAGATCTCTGACAATGACAACCAAACATTATTGAGGGCGCATGATAGTAATTATTATCTTGGAAAAAATATGGAAAAAATGCTACCTGCAATTTCTATGGGCCCCTGGGATCTTTCCCCCTGCCCCCTCTCGGTGGCCCTGCCTAGTACCAGACTATTTGCATATTTTGTGTCGGTGGGAGAGGACCATCCTCAAAAGAATCGCTGATCATTCTAGAACTTCTAAGATTACTATATACTTATACAGTGGCATGGCTTTTAACAATATCGTACAATAGGGGACAATTTGAATATTGTGCTTGAATTGTATAACATAATGCCTTGACACACAATCTGTATTATAATAATAATAGACTCGTGACCGCAACTTGCTTTGAAATAGGGCCAAGACCGTGGTGAGCTGCACTCATTCTTAAAACCAGGACCGCCATCCATAGATCTCTGACAATGACAACCAAACATTATTGAGGGCTCATGATAGTAATTATTATCTTGGAAAAAATATGGGAAAAAATGCTACCTGCAATTTCTATGGGCCCCTGGGATCTTTCCCCCTTCCCCCTCTCGGTGGCCCTGCCTAGTACCAGACTATTTGCATATTTTGTGTCGGTGGGAGAGGACCATCCTCAAAAGAATCGCTGATCATTCTAGAACTTCTAAGATTACTATCCGGATAGTGTCCTTCATTCCCCTCCACTATTTGTACACAGCCTTGCAATTTTAGAGTGGGGTGGAGTGGTGGGGAGAAAATCAGGCTTCATCCACTTTATCCAGATTTGTCAAACTTTAAATCAGCCCTAACCATGGTTCACTGAGTTGAAGGTTTGTTTTTATTCTAGAGTGGTCCATCCTGCAAATCTCGATCAATCAGGCTCTTTTACATTGTTTTGGGTAGGTTTTAACACACAATTATGGCTTCTTTTTTAAATTTATAAACAATTGAAATTTTTTTCTCCTCAAATTTAGATACAAGGAGCTACGTCTGGGGGGTGCTTGGCCTGCCTGGCTGGCCTGTCTGACTGGTCTCTCCTTTCTCCTAATGCCAATCCCCCTCCTCTGCTACCAATAATTGATAGTTTAAAAATCGCATAACAACAGTCAATAGCACGCTTTAAAATGATTCAGGTATTGGTCCACTCTTGAATTTGGTACACTCTTGTATTGGGTCTGCTCTTGAATTGAAAATCCTGTCTACGGCATTGGGGGTGCAAACTTTTTTTGGAGCTTAATGTACCCCCCCCCCCCCAAGTAGGGGTGCAAACTTATTCTGTAGCTTAATGTACGCCCAAGTAGGTACGTCACAGGGTATGGCCATAAAGTTAAGTCCATTAAACACAACTAAATTCCACTTGCATGTCTAATACATTTATGGGTGTTATATTGTACATGTTAATAGACAGCGTTAAGCGATCTCATGAAATGTTAAGGAGGAACATTTCGTCCTGTTTTGTTTACATATTGGTATTCCAAATTTTGTTAGTGTTGGAGCTGGTTAAGCAGTGCTCAATTTAAGTTTAAGAGGATTTCACACCCCACTTCTGACATGTCCACAATACAACGCACACACTTCTCGTATTTTTTAACTGAGATATCCTAATACAACATTTTTTTATTATTTTATTTATTTCCATCATAGCAATAAGCAAACAAAGAGAAAAAGTTCACAGCAAAAACATTGACATACACACACATGACATTGTGAGATTTCGCCACACCTACTGCGTGTTTCAGGATGATAATATAAGAATAATGGTAGGAAACCATAACTTCCATCCATAATATACCCTTTCCTGTATAAATGTTTGTAATCCAAAAGCACACTTGGATTAAAAGTTAATTTAAAAATCTCTGGCAAACCTATTCAAATTCAAAAATTACTTAGGTTACAATTGCGAAAAGCTATAGAATACTAATTATCTATATGATTCTTTGACAAAAGGAAAATTTAAATTCATTGCACCTAGGATTTCTGATACATAGCGTAGGATATTATTTTTTAAAGTCATATCAAAAGACAAAATCATATCAAAAGACAAGTACAAGACAGGGACAGAAACTGAGGTCAGGACAGAAAATACTGAGACGTTAAGTCAAAAGTGAGTCATTAGAACTTCAAATGAGTATTTCTCTATAACGTCTGCACGGTATAACACATTTTGGGCTTTGAAATGGAATTTAGTATTCCTATTCTTTTTTTATGCTTCCTTCCCTGATATGAATATGGTCCTATTTTTTGGTAAATTACGGTATTTTATTTGAGATATTTTGACTCTTCTGCAGATATTTTGATATGTTCTAGTTTCCGATTATTTCTTCAAACACCTTTTCAATGTCTTGTAATTTCCATTTATACAACATTCGAATTGTGTCTTTCCTCCCCCACCAGATCCAAAATTCTTTCAGGTTTCTTTAACATTTGATTTTTTACATTACAATTTACATTTTTTAGGCCTGCTTGGTGGTATTGTGTATCATTGTCATATCTCATTTCTTATTATACGGTTTAGAAGCTCTTTTGTATCCTTTAGAAAAGGCGAATTACATTTTGTTAATTTGCTTCATTATATATCGAGCCACAATCTTTTGTGGATATGTTTCCATTTCTTTCAGGTTAGTCGCAGTCACTTGGTCACCCTTCAGCCTGTCTAGGAACGTCACACAAACCACATCTATTCTTTGACAAAAGGAAAATTTAAATTCATTGCACCTAGGATTTCTGATACATAGCGTAGGATCTGTCTCTTATACACATCTAGATGTGTATAAGATATGCATATAATACACCTATATATACACAAATATACATATAATATACATATAATATACACATATATATACATATATATATACATAGGCCTATATATACATATTATATACATATATATTATATATATTATATATTATGTATATTATATATATATATATTATATACATTATATATATTTACAATTATGTATTAGCCTGGTTCTTAATAGGTGGTCCGTGGCCCAAATTTGGCCAGCCAGTAATTTTATTTGGCTCGTGAGTGAAAATATAATTTAAAATATTCAAAACATTAAACACATTTTCAATAAAGTAAAGACAAAATTTCAACCCCTGGGTAATGTGCACGGGATTGTTTGAAAATGAGCAAGATGATATAGGCCATTTATTTGTGAATTTTCTTTCCTTTAGTTAATCTAGTGTCAATTTTTTTATAAGTAAATGTTATTTTTACCTACAGACTTGACATGTTTCGCCTCTTGGCAAGAGGCATCGTCAAATCGTCAAAAACAAATTTCTTGTTTGTCAATGAACTATCTAATGGTAAACTTCTTCAAAACGTCGGAATAGGCCTATAAATTCTCAGCTTCTAAACACGATAGCTAGTTTTAAACTGTTATTTTTAATACTCGTGGTGGGTGATTAGACTGTTTAATTACATTACCAGTAAATTATAATAACGTATATAAGCTGCCTAGTTATTACTCCAGGATAAATAATACTCTTACTTATTTTTGGTAAAACTGATATCGAATTTCCTATCAATTTTTGAGCTCCCTCACACCGATTCCGAATTTTTGGATCGGAAAGCCTATCAGTGTGTAAGAATATGGACGCTAACGTTCAGCGTATCTGAAACTCGCTCCGAATTTTGTTTCGAATCCTATGTAAATGAAGCTTTAGAAAATTAAATGAAATATATAATTTTAGTGAGACAGCAATTCTCATACCTTGTATGCCGGTTTTTTTGCACATTGCTCCAAAGCATGGCGCTTCCATTTCAAAATTCCGGACCCCCTTCTTATAAGCGCGACGGAGGTAATCCATCTTATCCTTTTCAGAATATTCACACACGGCACCATCTAGGCGTCCTTGACCTTTAAAAACAATGTTTAACACAAAAAAAAAATGCTAGTCGGATTCAGTGGTGTAGCTAGAACATGCGAGGTACTAGCTAGCGTCCCCTCACTTAAACATCGAGCCCACCTTCGCACCAATTCCTTCAAAAATAAATTTGACTTTCATATAGGCCTATGTGTCCACATATCTGTTTAGTATCATTCAATTATGATGTTCTAGTGATTTATGTCCAAGCATAATACTGGAAAAACGCATAGCCTAGCTAATGCAATTAGGCCTATACATACCAAAACTCAATTATGTACATTCAGTGACAAGCAAACGATTCCAGCACATATTTTTAATTACAAAGCACGTTTTATTTTTGAAAAGGGAGTTTTAAAGTGATTCTCTTACGAGGTTACGTCATAATAATTTTTCGACCCTCGACCACACTACTGCGTCTTTTGAAAAACAAAAACATCCGCAGTTAAAGAAATGTGTTCGGGGACATCGGCCTTCGTCGGGAACATCCAATCCCCTCCCATCCCCTCAGGAAAATCCTGGTGCTATCCCTGGTTTCCAAGAACCGCCTTTGTAAAATAATATCTCTAATTACACATACATTCGTAAAAACCAAAAGTGCCGATTGTATTTCCTTTCACAACTTTGAAATTGTCACTCTCATGTTTGCAACCCAGCAGCGCATTCATTAGATCCTCACTCAGCTCTGTGTTTCTCTTTACCATCTTGCCTAATACAGCCTGAGAAAAAAATCAAACTGGTGAAATTGTTTCTTTAATTATAGGCCTAACATATGCAGGTATCCCACCCCCACATCTTCCATGATGAGTATATATACACAACTTTTCCCAGTATACTTTGATCTAATAGTATGAATATCAATCCAAAATAACAAGACTATAAGAGACAAAATGTAAACAATACTTTATCGTCATAAAAGGATAATTGCCTCATTTAAAATGCATATTAATCAGGATTTCTGGTAACTTGTACGTTAACTAGGCTATATAGTGTGTCTCATTGTATTATGTATTATTGCTGTTGATGCTTTAAATAAAAGCAAAAAAAAAATGGCCTTGTCATTTTCGGAGTGACATTCATACTATTTTGTAGGCCTACTAAAAGTTAGTGAACATCCAGAAATTTTTACTGTGATCTTGGCCGTATAAAATATAATTTGATGAAACATAATTGAAAAAGGTAATTAATGAAATGAAATAGACTGTTGTAAACTAAATTTTCCAAAACAAAAATATAGGGACTAATAATAACATAATAACATTTTTTCTTAAGACTGGACAAAAATTTATTGAGCTACATAAAATTAAGAGGTAATTACTTTAATGTGTTTTTGTTTTATGGTTTAAAACTCCTTCATACACCAGTTCTTATCCTCATAATTAAGGAATCTAATTGGAGCTGAACAGCTTAATGGTTAAGGTGTTGGCTTCCAGTCCCGGGGTCTTGCATTTTAATTCCTGTCACTCCCAGGCTTATTTTTTCTCACTACGAAATCATCTCCACTATCTAATAAAGAGATTTTAAATGATCATTCCATGTAATTGGCGAGTTATGTAAACATTGGGTGTTAAAGGAGCTTTTTTTAAAGTGTTGGTCAGGTACACACTGGCTCGTACTACTAATAAGCAAAATAAACTCACAAAGGTGTACACCGGTTCAAACATCTCATTGAAGGCGCCCTCTGTGACAACCACCGTACCAGGATCCACTCCAACACCTCCAGAGCTACCGATACGTATCATGACAACATCCATGCAGTTAGCATAATAAAGAAGCTTTACGATTTCGTGTAAAAGAATTGACAGTGACCCCATTCCCATCCCATGCTGTAAAAGAATAATTACCGTATAATTAAATAAATAATAATTTATTATAATGACAATGTAAATTTAACTTAATTACCAATGTTTTTTTCTTGTGTAATCTCTGCGCTCTTTTGATGATTATTTTTTATTTATTCATTTTTGTACGGAATATAGCACATCCTTTTTTTTTATTTTATTTTTTTTTTATTTTTTGTTATAATGTATTTTGTATTTTCTTGCCAGAAGAACGATATATAAAAATACTATTCTTTCTACCTCATCACATAGGAAAAGACGTAGGTATATGTCAGAACAATGCAATTTGTAAACTTTATTTGTTTACCTAAAAGAAGTTCGCCATTAAATAATCGACAGATTAATTTAGGCCTATCAACATGTGTTCGTAGGCAAAGACATGTATCTAGAGGGAAAGGAATTAAGCTCCAAACCCATTTGAGGCACACAATAGTGAAACTGCTCTACAAAACATATTCCACCTCATCATGGAGCCTAATTTGTTCAGTGATTATCTTAATGTGCAACCCTATACTTCGGTTTGCATGTACAAATTTAAAATATTATATTATTTTTATTACGATTTTTACCAGTAGTAGTAGTAGTGGTAGTGGTATTAGTTAGTAGCAGTAGTATTGATATAATTATGCTTACACTTAGCGACAGCACTGGGCCAACTTTGTACATGCAAAATCTGTCTTTATTTCTTTCTTCGCACAAGTCCACTAGTTTTTCGTCCATTTTTAGGTGGTCCTGCATCAACTCGGCGAATGCTCTCATTCGATTTACGCTGCCTCCCATGCACACAAACTAACAGATAAGAACAAATTAAAACATTTTCAAACACCTCATGTCGAGACAGAATTTGGTCCAGGTTTCAGGATGACTTATATCATTATGATCTTGCTGATAAAAAGTATATTTGATTTATATAATGTTATGCAATATCTAGGGGTCCTACATTACAACCTCTGACTGACCCTATGCTTTATTTTATTGTGTAAGTGTTATAAATTCGATAACACTTTTTACTGCGCTGTGCTTGCTTCTAGATCAGATTCATTTAATTATTTTAATTTTTACACGCCCGTTGGACAGGCTTAGCTCTAAATATATGTTACAAGGGTAATCTATTACAATAGAGCTATCAGAAAACATGCTTAAATTGTGTTACTTTTAGCTGTTCATTTACCTTAGTGTCTCCAAAAAGTTCTTGAAGATTGTCATCTTTTGAGAAACCAAGATGGTAAAGATAATCGTTCGGTTGTTCCAGAACTAGCTTATTAGGAAGCTGCCATTGTGCACTGCCACAACCTCTTTCTGACATTGTTAGAAGTTACTGATAGGTAACACTCAGATCACATTGAGCTAAAACAACAAATTGAATACGACATTGATTGGCTTTCCAAACGTTATTTTGATTGCTAATTCCTAAAATGTTGGGCCATACTAAGCCATGAAGGCTTTATTTTTTATTATTATTTTATTTATTGTTGCATTATTGTATTTATAATTCCAAACTTTGCCACTGCTTCTTTTGATTTCTTTACTTGTTCTGTGCTTGAGTTGGACATTGATCATGCCTGCCTATGGGTTGTAAGGTGCTTAAGTATGTGGGGTGCGCTTCGTACCCATGAACCCTACTAGTAATTTTTTTATTCTTGGATCGAGGCTCTAGTCGGTCCCTTGTTTCGAGCAACCGCTGCGTATGCGCACAGCCCAAGATAATAATTACGTGAATACTTTTAAAACAAAGAACATTTCATCAATTTAATGAGCTGGGAAATCTAAATAAACTTTCAGACATTGAAATAAAACATTGAATTACTCATTGTCAAATCACTTATCAAGTATAAAATGTTTATCTTAAATAATTCTGTCGTATGTTAGCAGTTTCTTTTTACCCCTTTTGTCTTCTTGCTACTCAAGATGCCCTGAAAGGTCTATTTGTCTACTAGGCCTACTTATTTTTTTCCTTTTATTTTATCTATCATAGGCATATTTCGTATATAACATTACCGTGATAGCAATTAAGAACCAATCATTAAGTGTCATCACTCGAGTGAAGCTCATCTTGAGTAGTAAGGTGCCGCCTTACCAGAACCAGAACCAGTAATATTTGGTGAATAACTGCAATTTTAATGTTTCCCAGATAGTTTCCCTCCCTCAAAGTACACTGTCACATTTCAGAAAAGATTGACGTTTGTTTAATTTTCTAGAATTTAACTAGAAAATATTTTTGATTGGAGTTAGAATCTGAGTATTGGTGTATAATCACCAAGCCCAATATGGGCGTAGGCTGTATGTCCGCGCGTTCCCGTTGGCCCGCAGAGTCAAATTAGTTCTGCTAAGTTACCGGGTTATAAAAAAAATAATATAAAAAAATACATGCATTCTCAATTCCCGTACCCAAGGCCGAAACCAGCCTACTTCCCATTACAATTCATGGCTCTATCTAATGCACTGATAAAAAAAAAATATGGCATTCTTGACTTACCTAATTTAAAGGTGGAAGGACAAGGACCACGCAACAACTGAAAGCAGTGGGATGGCCTGTTTCTGTCTCCAGCTTTCTGAGTTTTTTTTACATTTACTTTATCTGATAACTACACATGTGTATAAATAGTATGCATGTCTGGACCTAATGAGTGACTTATTGTTGTTACTTACGTTGTTTTATTTCAACAGCAGTTTTAATGTAAAAACTCGTCAACTAATATTATTGTAGTTATGTCTGTCATCTGACAAGGAAATAATAATTGGTATATATACTTATACAGTGGCATGACTTTTAACAATATCGTACAATAGGGGACAATTTGAATAATGTGCTTGAATTGTATAACATAATGCCTTGACGCGCAATCTGTATAATAATAATAGACTCGTGACTGCAACTTGCTTTGAAATAGGGCCAATACCGTGGTGAGCCGCACTCATTCTTAAAACCAGGACCGCCATCCATAGATCTCTGACAATGACAACCAAACATTATTGAGGGCGCATGATAGTAATTATTATCTTTGAAAAAAATATGGAAAAAAACTGCTACCTGCAATTTCTATGGGCCCCTGGGATCTTTCCCCTGCCCTCTCTCGGTGGCCCTGCCTAGTACCAGACTATTTGCATATTTTGTGACGGTGGGAGAGGACCATCCCCAAAAGAATCGCTGATCATTCTGGGACTTCTAAGATTAGTGTCCTTCATTCCCCTCCACTATTTGTACACAGCCTTGCAAATTTAGATTGGGGGTGGAGGGGGGAGAAAATCAGGCTTCATCCACTTTATCCAGAGTTGTCAAACTTTAAATCAGCCCTAACCATGGTTCACTGAGTTGAAGGTTTGTTTTTATTCTAGACTGCAAATCTCGATCAATCAGGCTCTTTTACATTGTTTTGGGAGGTTTTAACACACAATTATGGCTTCTTTTTTAAATTTATAAACAATTGAAATAATTTTTTTTTCTCAAATTTAGATACAAGGAGCTACATCTGGGTGGTGCTTGGCCTGCCTGGCTGGCCTGTTTGACTGGTCTCTCTCCTAATGCCAATCCACCTCCTCTGCTACCAATAATTGATATAATTTAAAAATCGCATAACAGTCAATAGCACGCTTTAAAATGATTCAGGTATTGGTCCACTCTAGAATTTGGTACACCCTTGTATTGAGTCCGCTCTTGAATTGAAAATCCTTTCTACGGCATTGGAGGTGCAAACTTATTCTGTAGCTTAATGTACGCCCAAGTAGGTACGTCACAGGGTATGGCCATAAAGTTAAGTCCATTAAACACAACTAAATTCCACTTGCATGTCTAATACATTTATGGATGTTATATTGTACATGTTAATAGACAGCGTTAAGCGATCTCATGAAATAAAGTGACCATTATTCGTCCTGTTTTGTTTACATATTGGTATTCAAAATTTTGTTAGTGTTGGAGCTGGTTAAGCAGTGCTCAATTTAACTTTAAGAGGATTTCACACCCATCTTCTGACATGTCCACAATTCAACGCACACACTTCTCGTATTTTTTAACTGAGATATCCTAATACAACATTTTTTTTATTATCTTATTTATTTCCACCATATCAATAAGCAAAGATAAAAAGTTCAAAGCAAAAACATTGACATACATACACACACATGACATTGTGAGATTTCGCCACACCTACTGCATGTTTCAGGATGATAATATAAGAATAATGGTAGGAAACCATAACTGAATGGATTTCCTGTATAAATGTTTGTAATCCAAAAGCACACTTGGATTAAAAGTTAAACAATTTAAAAATCTCTGGCAAACTATTAAAATTCAAAAATTACTTAGGTTACAATTGCGAAAAGCTATAGAATTCTAATTATCTATATGATTCTTTGACAAAAGGAAAATTTAAATTCATTGCACCTAGGATTTCTGATACATAACGTAGGATATTATTTTTTAAAGTCATATCAAAAGACAAAATCATATCAAAAGACAAGTACAAGACAGGGACAGAAACTGAGGTCAGGACAGAAAATACTGAGACGTTAAGTCAAAAGTGAATCGTTAGAACTTCAAATGAGTATTTCTCTATTACGTATGTACGGTATGACACATTTTGGGCTTTGAGAATGGCATTTAGTTTTCCTATTCTTTTTTTATGCTTCCTTCCCTGATATGAATATGGTCCTATTTTTTGGTAAATCATGTTATTTGAGATATTTTGACTCTTCTGCAGATATTTTGATATGTTCTAATTTCCGATTATTTTTTCAAACACCTTTTCAGTGTCTTGTAATTTCCATTTATACAACATTCGAATTGTGTCTTTCCACCACCAGATCCAGAATTCTTTCAGGGTTTCTTTAACATGATTTTTTACATTACAATTTACATTTTTTAGGCCTGCTTGGTGGTATTGTGTATCTTTGTCATATGTCATTTCTTATTATACGGTTTAGTAGCTCTTTTGTATCCTTCGGAAAAGGCAACATCTTCCATGATGAGTATATATACACAACTTTTCCCAGTATACTTTGATCTAATAGTATGAATATCAATCCAAAATAACAAGACTATAAGAGACAAAATGTAAACAATACTTTATCGTCATAAAAGGATAATTGCCTCATTTAAAATGCATATTAATCAGGATTTCTGGTAACTTGTACGTTAACTAGGCTATATAGTGTGTCTCATTGTATTATGTATTATTGCTGTTGATGCTTTAAATAAAAGCAAAAAAAATGGCCTTGTCATTTTCGGAGTGACATTCATACTATTTTGTAGGCCTACTAAAAGTTAGTGAACATCCAGAAATTTTTACTTTGATCTTGGCCGTATAAAATATATTTAGATGAAACATAATTGAAAAAGGTAATTAGTGAAATGAAATAGACTGTTGTAAACTAAATTTTCCAAAACAAAAATATAGGGACTAATAATAACATAATAACATTTTTTCTTAAGACTGGACAAAAATTTATTGAGCTACATAAAATTATGAGGTAATTACTTTAATGTGTTTTTGTTTTATGGTTTAAAACTCCTTCATACACCAATTCTTATCCTCATAATTAAGGAATCTAAGTGGAGCTGAACAGCTTAATGGTTAAGGTGTTGGCTTCCAGTCCCGGGGTCTTGCATTTTAATTCCTGTCTCTCCAGGCTTATTTTTTCTCACTACGAAATCATCTCCACTATCTAATAAAGAGATTTTAAATGATCATTCCATGTAATTGGAGAGTTATGTAAACATTGGGTGTTAAATGAGCTTTTTTAAAGTGTTGGTCAGGTACACACTGGCTCGTACTACTAATAAGCAAAATAAACTCACAATGGTGTACACCGGTTTAAACATCTCATTGAAGGCGCCCTCTGTGACAACCACCGTACCAGGATCCACTCCAACACCTCCAGAGCTACCGATACGTATCATGACAACATCCATGCAGTTAGCATAATAAAGAAGCTTTACGATTTCGTGTAAAAGAATTGACAGTGACCCCATTCCCATCCCATGCTGTAAAAGAATAATTACCGTATAATTAAATATATAATAATTTTTTATAATGACAATGTTAAATTTAACTTAATTACCAATGTTTTTTCTTTTGTAATTTCTGCACTCTTTTGATGATTATTTTTTATTTATTCATTTTTTGTGCGGAATATAGCACATCCTTATTGGGTGACAGTGGCTTTGCGCTTTTGCTATTCCTTCGCACTAATTTGAGTTTCTTTGTAATTAATTGCCATGTTATTAGTTTTGTCATTAGTACTGTATTTTGTTTTAATTTTTTTGTTATAATGTATTTTGTATTTTCTTGCCAGAAGAACGATATATAAAAATACTATTCTTTCTACCTCATCACATAGGAAAAGACGTAGGTCTATGTGCAGTCAGAACAATGCAATTTGTAAACGTTATTTATTTACCTAAAAGAAGTTCGCAATTAAATAATCGACAGATTAACTTTTAGGCCTATCATATGTGTTCGTAGGCAAAGACATGTATCTAGAGGGAAAGAATTTAAGCTCCAAACCCATTTGAGGCACACAATAGTGAAACTGCTTTACAAAACATATTTCACGTCATCATGGACCCTAACTTGTTCAGTGATTATCTTAATGTGCAACCCTTTACTTCGGTTTGCATGTGCAAATTAAAAATATTATATTATTTTTATTACGATTTTTACCAGTAGTAGTAGTAGTGGTAGTGGTAATAGTTAGTAGCAGTATTATTAATATAATTATGCTTACACTTAGCGACAGCACTGGGCCAACTTTGTACATGCAAAATCTGTCTTTATTTCTTTCTTCGCACAAGTCCACTAGTGTTTCGTCCATTTTTAGGTGGTCCTGCATCAACTCGGCGAATGCTCTCATTCGATTTACACTGCCTCCCATGCACACAAACTAACAGATAAGAACAAATTAAAACATTTTAAAACACCCCATGTCGAGACGGAATTTGGTCCAGGTTTCAGGATGACTTATATCATTAGGATCTTGCTGATAAAAAGTATATTTGATTTATATAATGTTATGCAATATCTAGGGGTCCTACATTACAACCTCTGACTGACCCTATGCTTTATTTCATTGTGTGTTATAAATTCGATAACCCCTTTTACTGCGCTGTGCTTGCTTCTAGATCAGATTCATTTAATTATTTTAATTTTTTACACGCCCGTTGGACAGCCTTACCTCTAAATATATGTTACAAGGGTAATCTATTACAATAGAGCTATCAGAAAACATGCTTAAATTGTGTTACTTTTAGCTGTTCATTTACCTTAGTGTCTCCAAAAAGTTCTTGAAGATTGTCATTTTTTGAGAAACCAAGATGGTAAAGATAATCGTTCGGTTGTTCCAGAACTAGCTTATTAGGAAGCTGCCATATTCCACTGCCACAACCTCTTTCTGCCATTGTTAGAAGTTACTGATAGGTAACACTCAGATCACATTGAGCTAAAACAAAAAATTGAATATGACATTGATTGGCTTACGTGAATACTTTTAAAACATTTCATCAATTTAATGAGCCGGTAAAATCTAAATAAACTTTCAGACATTGAAATAAAACATTGAATTACTCATTGTCAAATCACTTAACAAGTATAAAATGTTTAAATCTTGAATTATTCTGTCGTATGTTAGCAGTTTCTTTTTACCCCTTTTGTCTTCTTGCTACTCAAGATGCCCTGAAAGGTCTATTTGTCTACTAGGCCTAGTTATTTTTTCCTTTTATTTTATCTATCATAGGCATATTTCGTATATACCATTACCGTGATAGCAATTAAGAACCAATCATTAAGTGTCATGACCAACCTCACTCGAGTGAAGCTCATCTTGAGTAAGGTGCCGCTGTACCAGAACCAGAACCAGTTCTATTTGGTGGATAACTGCACTTTTAATGTTTCCCATATAGTTTCCCTCCCTCACAGTTTACTGTCACATTTCAGAAAAAAAATTGACGTTTATTTAATTTTCTAGAATTTAACTAGAAAATATTTTTGACTGGAGTTAGAATCTGAGTATTGGTGTATAATCACCAAGCCCAATATCGTCGCTCACATCACGAACTAACACAATTAGATTCAATTGTGTTAGTTCGTGAAATCAAAAAAGCGCGTCAAAATACGCGCTGTTGTTGTTAAGGACTTTTTGTGTAGTAAAGAATACAAAATTGCTTGACAACCAATACGCGCTAGTTTTGACGCGCTACTGTGATTTCACGAACTAACACAACCTACTTTGATTGTGTTAGTTCGTGATGTGAGCGACGATATGGGCATAGGCTGTACCGTATGCCCGCGCGTTCCCGTTGGCCCGCGGAGTCAAATTAGTTCTGCTAAGTTACAGGGTTATAAAAAAAAATAATATAAAAAAATAAATGCATTCTCAATTCCCGTACCCCAGGCCGAAACCAGCCTACTTCCCATAGCTCTATCTAATGCACTGATAAAAAAAATATATGGTCATCTTGACTTACCTAATTTAAAGGTGGAAGGACAAGGACCACGCAACAACTAAAAGCAGTGGGATGGCTGTGTTTCTGTCTCCAGCTTTCTGAGTTTTTTTACATTTACTTTATCTGATAACTACACATGTGTATAGATATTATGCATGTCTGGACCTAATGAGTTGACTTATAGTTGTCATTTGAGGCCAACAACATTTGTCATGCGATAACAATTCAATGTAGGCCTAAACTAATATTTACTTCCATGCTGTAACCACGGAACAGTTAAATTACATTAAAAAAAAATTAAAAAAAACATTTCGAACCGAAAATTAAAGGTCTTATCATAATCAACTGATAAACAATTTACAACTAGAACTAATTACGACGATCTTCTCATGGTGATCGACGTCGTATACCATGATCATACCCCCTAAATGTTATACAGAAACGATAAATGGGGACTAGGCCTATATCGCGACGATGTTTTAATATTTTGCAAATATCCTCGATAGTGGCCGGACGTTTCGCCGACACACATTTGGCCTACAGACTATCGACCGAAATACCATTTCGTCGAATCCAGTTTGCCGACAGGACGATTCGCCGACAGCCAATTTACCCGACAGACAATTTGCCCGACAGACAATTCGCCGACACTTTTTGTGAACGTATTAATGTATAGATGTGCCACCAGGTGGCATATTTAGATGATTAATTTTCGTGGCCTGACGTTTCACCGACAGACATTTGGCCTATATACTATTGACCGAAATATCATTCGCCGACACGACTTTTTGCCGACACCACATTTCACTGAATGCCAGTTTACCGACGGGACGATTTGCCGGCATTTTTTGTTAACATGTTAATGGTTGGATGTGTCACAAGTGGCATATTTAGATTATTTATTTTTCGGTCACGTGTCCAAAACCTTTCTAGTACCGAATATTGTGCACAGCTTACAGATATCAAAAGTTAAGTTATGTTCGGAGCATTGAATTTGAAACTTCCATATATTATATGTTTATAGAGCTAAAAGTTCATTAGGGCCTATAAGAATTAGTAGATCACTGTTTAAATCGTGAAAGAATTATTCTATTCTGATAACGTATTACTTTTCTTTATAATAATGGAATCGCAGTAATAATCTGGGGCGGATGCAGGGGCTGCAACGATGAGATCCCCCCCCCCCACTCCAAATTGTATTAAGAAACATTTTTTTTTATTGTGTTGTTGATTTGTACGGTACATAGTACCTGTACAATTTTTAAGGTATGAGTGCAATTTCCGGGCACATAGAGGTCAATACTTTCAAAATGTTCGCATCTCAGCCCCATCTACAGTGGGCGTGAGGTCGTGTGGACTCTCACGCACCCCTACCACCAAATCATGTATTCGCCCCAGCTGATAGTAAAGTTCTACTGTTAAAGCAATGTTGAACTACTGTTACTTAAAGGCCTATCGTACGTTGATACCGTAAAACCTCGAATTGAAGCCCTGGCTTCTATTTTTTGCCAACTTTGGATGGGCTTCTCTTTTCGATATAGGCTTCTTCTCGAGGCTAATTTTGCAAAGTAACAAGGTGGGTGGGGGAGAGGTGGGTGGGGGAGGGGTGAGCTTCTTTTCAAAATGAATGCTGTAAATTTTGTGAATACGTACTATGAAACAATAAATAAGGTCATTGTCAATCTGTATCATGGAGTGTATTTAACTGGCATTAAATCACCAAAACTACTGTATAAACCAAGCTAGTTTTCAATTTATTTTGTTTTTTGAAATTCATGTACAGTGTATACTGTCTCGAAAAAAAAAAGCCTATGCTATCTTGAAAAGAAACCCATGGGCTTTTTTCGAGGTTAATTTTACAAACTAAAGAGGGGACTTCAATTCAAGATGGGCTTCATCTCGTGATTAAGACCATTTAACTTTAAATCGAGGTTTACGGTATTTATGAAATCCCATGGTGACAATAGTAATGATAAATGATAAGTTTAAGTTTATTAGAACGTAAATATTCCACAAATCTATCTCCCAATCTACGCTTGGTTTCACCAATATACAACATTGCTTCCGAACCGATACTG